CTTAGTTCGATGATGGGTCATTTCATAGTTATCACTTCAAAACTTTTAAAAATGTGACCTTCAACTGACTTTTTTTTTTTTGGTCAATGTACATGCTAAGAAGAAGGCTAACATAAGAAAATTATTTCAAACCTAACTTATTAGAAGGCTATTTGTCACACTGGACTTTATGTTCTAGCTTTTCTTTTCAAATATCTCAGACACATTCCTGAGGAGTCCTAACCCCCGCATGTAGTAGAGTCTCAGTGTTTTACTCTTTTTTTATTTTTTCAAAAAAATATTTGATAAGTGTCTTAGGTCGAAAGTACTTAGTAGTACATACAGATGGCTAGAACACAATGCCTGAATTCAGGAGAACTTATAATAAGAGAGTTAAAACACACACAAATAACTATAAAACAAAGCAATACGGGATAAGTGCCATATTCATATTATATGAAACGTTTTCATAGAAATTGTTCACAAAAATGTGATCATTTAAAAGTAATTTAGCTCCTCTTTCATTTTTATGACAAATGAACACAAGATGTCATGTCGACTATCGAGTTCCATCTTTCTGTTCTCTTTCTTATGAAAGTCCCATAAAAAGATTTTTGAAAGAGTTTTTCTTAAAACAGTACTTACGGAGCACCTACTAGGTGCCAGGTATCTTAGTAGGGAGTGAGCTCGGAAAGCAAGGAAGCATGATATTTGATTCTACAAAGAACCAGGCAGCCCTGAGCTTTCCAGCTTCCATGCCACTGGGTCCTGACTGCAGCTAAGCTCCAGGGACAAACTCAGTTTTTGAGTAGTATCACGTTACAGAATTTCTAAGTTAGAGAGCTGTGGAGACCATTTAGCTCAATATCTTAAAGACAGGGACACTGAAGCCAGAGAGATGTTTAACTTTGTCACTGTTGTACTGGGGTCGGATCTAGAAATCAGATCCTCTTCCTTAGATCAGTGGACTGTTCCTCATTTTCTCAAGGATTTATGATTGGATTACCAAGTGGATGGTATCATATATTATTAGCTTACCCTTTAGTTTCTTTCAGGTAGTCGAGCAAGTCATACATTCCATTCAGGCTTAATCATATACACCAAATACTGAGGTATTATAGAGAGCGCTAAAAACAAAAATAATAAACCACAACTGCAATAGAGGACAGCAACCGTAAGCCTTCCCACAATGACTGCTTACAACAAATCAAGGCTCTTGTTTCTTTGCGCCTTAGTTTGGGTTCCCCCGAAAGCAGAGCCTGA